TCTTCTTCTTCTTCTTCTTCTTCTTCTTCTTCTTCTTCTTCTTCTTCTTCTTCTTCTTCTTCCTCCTCCTCCTCCTCCTCCTCTTCCTCTTCCTCTTCCTCTTCTTTGGCAAAGAAGAGTCTTTAAAAGAAAAGTCAGTCAATGGCAGCAAACTTTGCAGAACTGAAGAACATATTCAGACTCTTCAGATAATTTGGCCAGTGTTTTCAGACCGGCAACAGAAAGATTGAAAGGAAATAACGCTTCATTCATGACTTAGTAAAGTATGTTATTTTGCTAAACGTTTACCAAAAGTATCAACTTCACTGTTTTCTTTTTTGCTTGTTTGCATAGTTGGATTTGTATTGTTGAATTGTACAGAATCTAGCAGAAGAGAAGGAGGAATTCAAATTCAGAGACGCCTGGGACATTTTCACCAATCTGTAAATTAGGATCGCTTTCCACAATCTGGCACTTGATCAATGGGATTCTACTGTAAACTCTTTGGACTATGCATTTCAGAAGGTTGTAGCCCCAAGAAATTTGAGGAAAACTAGCTTAAGGATTTGTTGTTGTTGTTAAATGTCCATAGCAATGGACATTGAAACTGCAGTTGATTTTAAAACCTGTATAATTTATTTTAAGTATAATGTGCATAATTAAAAAAACATTTTTATGTTTGGACTTCATTTGTTTGTGTTAGTTACATGAAGAAACTTTAATTTCAGCAATCCAGTTTAATATGAACTCTTAAACCTTATGTGAATTAAGGTTATTAAGATTACTTCAAAAGCTTCTAAAATGCAGCCTATCAGAACTTTTCGGTTCTGTTTCATTGTCTGTTTGTTTTACTCCTTCATTTCTATTTTTAAGATGAAAACTTCATTCAAAAATTTGGCTCAGTGGCAATTTACAATCTGTTAATCTTCATGTGCTGAAAATATTGATATGGTTTGGAGTACTATATCAGAAAGCCTGTTGAGAATCATAAACTCCAAACATATTCAGATTAGTTTTTTCTTAAGTGAAAATCTATAAAAAGTCTATAAGAAATACTTTGATACAGTATTAATATTGGTACTGAATTATGTCTGCTGCTTGGATTTTACAATGAATTTGGAAATGGCATGTTATCCTATGGTCTGAAATACTCTGTTCTCTAATCATTGCTGTGAATTTATTTAAAATGTGAAGATAATTGTGGGAGTTCCATTTGTTGAAACCATCCTGCTTAAACAATAATGGTTTGGATCAATAATGGTTTGAACTTTTTGTTATATTTTAATGCTGAGGACAGTACTACTCCTGTCTTGGGGTCATGGGGTTGTATAAGAATTGCCACATGGATAAAGTGGGATGTGGAGAATGATGTGGTTCAAGAAGAATGTGTGGGAGCTGTAGGAGTGTATGAGAGGTTCTAAGTCAGTCAGAATGGTGCATGGGGTCAGCATGAATGAACGGTATCCTTCAATGTGGATAATGTGGTCTCCAGAACTGGATACAGTATTCCATATTAGATCTGGCTAGAGCAGAGTAGAATGGAATAATTATTTCCTGTATTCAGGAAATTGTTAGCAGCAGTTGGCAGTGAATTACCATTAGCAAACAATGAACAATCTCCCATGCCTGGCTCTTCTTCTTATGTTTGGCTATTCCAATTGGGTTGCCAAAATCTTCTAAGTTCTTCCTGTTCAGTCATTCAGCAAGTTACAAAATAAAGCACACAAATTAACAGTAATTCTGGATTTATGGTAGGGACTACAGGGAACAGCATAGAAATTCATGCCTAGATGGCAATAATTAAGGGCATCTGATTTGGCTTTATAGAAGCTGTGCTACAGGAAAAAGTTATAACAAGGAACAGACTGGTAATATTTAATCTGATGTATGTTGTGATGGGATATTTAATCTGATGTACAGTATGTTGTGATGGGAATTGGATTGGGATTCCTGCCAAGACTTTCATTAATTGCATTCATCCGGTAAATTAGTAGAATTTGCTTAGGTAGAGTTTCCTCTCTTACATGAATTAGTCAAGATGCGCATAAACATAGGGACATACTATTTTCTCCTCCATTTTTGGTTATATTCTCTTGGGACTTTTAAACTCCCCCCCCCTTTTTTTTCCTGGATCAAAGTGGGTAATTGAGTCAAAATACCAGGCTGACAAATGTTTCTATAAAGATTCAGTTTCTTTGTAATATTACAAAGCAACTAAAACAGATCAAAGATTAAATTAGCAAAATACAATGATATAGCAAACCAGTCTGGATTGTTTAAAAAAATACCAGTAGGTTTCCTATTCTGTTTACCATTATCAAACTCTGGCAGAGCAGACTTGACAATCTGTATGTGGTAGATTTTGAGACCAATGTGAGGTATTTTCTGATTTTTTTTTTACAATTCCCAAGAGGCTTTTACTCTCTAATACCACTAATATCCTGATACTTCCGGAATTCAGTGGGACTATATCCAGTATCAGCGTTCTGTAAAAGCATTCTCTGTTAAAGTTGGTTTGGTTTCATCCTTAATTGCTAATGGGTACTTCAGAACAATTATTGGAAGAGTTAAGTATTTGTACACTGACACATAAAAGGTGTTATTTTTATTCATTTGTTCATGGGTGTAGAGCAGGGGTTCCCAACCTGGGGTGCTCGCACCCCCTGGGGGTGCGAGACGATATTCCAGGGGGTGCGAGAAAAGTCCAGGTAAATAATAGGATATTGGCTATATGTTGGCATTTTTATTTATTATGCAATGGATTAACTTTGTTTTCATTTTATAGTTAAGTATCGTTATTTAGTGGCCGTCACATACATAGATGAAAAGATTCAATCCTACCATATATTTAACGCATTCAGTAGTTCCTAAAGTCTAAATTTCAGGGGGTGCAAGTTTCGAGTGAAATTTCTTTAGGGGCGCGGGGCGAAAAAAAGGTTGGGAACCACTGGTGTAGAAGAACTACACCTATCTGCTGTCTGCAGACAAGAGATTAAATTCTTTGAAGAAAGTTCCTAGGAACTGTTTCTTTCTCACGGTTAAAAGTAAGCAGTAATTCTAGTAGAGCTGAGTGGTTTGTATTCATTGGTCTTTGGGGAGCTGTGTCTTCTAGGCCAGGAATGTTCAACTTCTACAGACTACAATATGTTCTGGAAAGTAGGCTCACATAAATACCAGAACTTCCTTTGTGGGCTAACACCAGAGGTGATATTCAACAGGTTCTGACCAGTTCTGGAGAATCAGTAGAGGAAATTTTGAGTAGTTCGGAGAACTGGCAAATACTATCTCTGACTGGCCCCGCGCCCATCTATTCTCTGCCTCCAGAGACCCAGCTGATCAGCTGGCTCTTCTTTTGTTGCCCTGCACAGGAAAACGGAGCTGGAAAGTAGGTTAGTGGGGTGGGGAGGGAATGGGATTTTGCAGTAAACTTCCCCCAGGAGTGGGAAGGGAATTGAGATTTTTCAGTATCCTTTCCCTGGGGTGGGGTGAGAATGGAGATTTTAGTATCCTTCCCCTGCCATGCCCAAGCCATGCCCACCAAGCCATGCCCACAGAACCGGTAGTAAAAAAATTTGAATCCCACCACATATTCTTTACATCCAAAGTCTTTTGTAAATCACATTCTCCAGATACTATCCATAAAACCAAGTAACTCAGTATTCATGTGGAAATGATTCTTTCAAATAGTTCTGAGCTTATTGCCTTTTCTGTGCTTATTTCTCTATCTGAAAACATTAGGGATGGCAGTGCAGTAAAGGAGAGGCCATTGGTTCTCCAAGTATGCATTAACTGAGGCTCTGGATTTGGTGCTCAAACAAGAGGTATAATAGTAACTTGGAAGCTAGTTACTTTATAACTATGAGTAGAATGCTTCCTTAATTGTACTTCATGGAAGCAGTTTATCACAGAAACTTTAACAATTATACATTCCGCAGTACTAAATGTAAGTGTTATTATCTAACCTCTTTAGTTCTGAAGAAAAATGTCAGATTTAAGTCAGTAAGCAAATTAATACTAGCATTTCCTGGTAGAAAATGTTATTAATAGCATATATCTTTGCCAAACTCATTTTTTCAGACTTTTATGTGAGAAATATAAACTAACTAATCGAAAGATATTGCAGTTTGTGCCAGAATTAATCAAATAGGTGGTACATGGTAATCCACAGAATTTAGATCTGTACATATTATTTTGACCCATTTGCCTGCTTAGCTTTTTATTTGTTGCACAGTCAGTGAGATGGTTCAGGCTGAATGTGACATTTTTGTCCATCTATCAAGTCCTTCCCAAGGACTTGGGATAGGCAGATGGGGAAGTTTGATAGTGTTACAGATAACGGTTGCAGGACGTAAGCTGTTCCAAGTAAAGTTGTCTTTTGAAATTGTCTGATGGTGAATTATTGCTATTATTATTTACAGGTATATGACTGATGGTGGATTGGGCCTTTATACTCGAAGATTAAACAGACTTCCTGATGGGATGGCTGCTGTGAGGGAAACTTTACAACGCAACACCTCACTGGGTCTTGGTGATGCAGACAGGTAGGATGATCTGTCTGACTTAAATTTTTTCAGTTTGAAATATATTTCACTGCAGATACAAGACAGAAATGTATTATTTTAAAAAAATAGCACTGCAAGGCAGAAATATTCAACTTTAAATGTTGCTGTTGTATGGCTGAAATATTTTGACAAAAATTGAACTACGATACAGCAAGTAAAGTAAGGACAGAAATGTATTCTATACAATAACACAAATGAATGTCATGTTCATAAATCACTATTAATAAAATAAAATTCTAACCAATGAAAATGTAATAGCAACAAAAATGTTGGAATATCTGAAGAGCAGTAACTGCTGTTCTCTATTCTAAGAAGACTCAGTAAACATTAGACTTTTCCATTCTATAAGGAATAAACAAATAGCCTCTATAGAAGAATAGCTCCATAGAACATACGGAGCAAAGGTACAATTCTTCCTTCCTTTTCTAAACTAATTAACAAACTAAAATACAAATTCATACTGTAGTATTAATGGGTACTTTCAAATTTAATAACAGCAATAATAGCAAAAAGGAGAAAATGGCTTGAAAAATTATCTTATAAAAAGAACAATTTCAGAAATGTTGTCCCCATGGCAAACAAGACTTTCTGCTTACCTTTTTGTTGGCTGGGGGTGGGTGGGGGGAACACCCTAATTCAAGTAGTGAAAGACAATGCATCTCAATAATTTTTTTCTTATAAAAGTATGTGGATAAGTTCAATTACAAAGCTTTGTCCCCCCAAAAGTCTCCTTTATTTAAAGTGGCTTCACTGAGAAGCTTTCTTTTCATTATTATTATTTCCCTCAACCCATTGTGAGATAAGTACAAATGGCATGCAAAAGTATATGTACAGATTGTATTGTTTTAAGTTAGTGTGTGTGTGTATAAATATAAATATTACAGATTTAATTTTATTTTTGCAAGATGTTTCATGCCTTCTTCAGCAGACGATCAGGTAGACTGTTGTTACTCCAAAGCACAGGACTATCAAGAAAATAAGTTATGTATTTGGAAATTTACTCTCCCTTGTCGGAGATAAGAAAATTAATATGAAAATGTATCTGTATCTTTATCAAATCAAATAGATTAAACATGTATCAATTATTACATAATGAGTTAATTTTTCCATTTTAAAATACTGTGGCGTTGCCTCTGTAAATTCAAATTTTCCTGAAGTCTTAAGTTTTCTATTATTTTCATTATAGTAAATTAGAACCTGTAAAAAATAATTCCAGTTTATTATTGGCATACAATATATACATAATGTGAATTAAACCTTAGCTAAGGCTGACACATCAGTAATACATTTGATTACTATAAAAGGGTTTGAACTCATGAAATAATTAAAAATAACAGACATTTTTTTCGTTAGGGTGCGATGACAAATAAAGCTAATTTCTTGGTCTAATATTGTTCCCTTTTATTAATAGCAAATTTCTAGACTTTTACGATTGTGGAGAAACCTGTCCACTGTAGCTTCCATCAATCTGGTATCTACCAGTTATGTTAAACTGCAAATCTTGTAGTTCTCAGTAAAGGAAAAACTGGTAGGAAATTATGGGAATTGTACTTTGATGTATTTGAACAGGACTGGGTTGTGGAAAGTTGTGTGGTGGATAAAGATTTAGTTTGTGCTTTGTTTTTTGTTTTGTTTTTGATGGAATTGTGTGGAATTTGAGTCTCCTTGTATGCAAAGCATTTATCTATAGCTCCTCTTATAATAGGTACTTCGTAGGATACAAAAATTTATTAGCATGTGGGTTCTCTTGGCATGTTCCAAAAGCATATTTAATCCACCAATACATGTATTATTCTCTGATGGGCATTTTTTTCATACTACAAACAAGGTGTTGGGTGAAATACAAACATTAGCTGTTGGTAGAGAGCTTATTTGTCGAGCTGATAGGTTTATTGAAAGACTTCTACACAACTTTTGCAGCTGGAATGCAAGCAGACAAGGAGATGTTTTATCTACTTTTTCTTAAGTCAAATAAAAAAGGGGCAGGGGAGAGACAATACAACCTTGAAGGATTGATCCATGATGTTGGTTTAGCATCCAAAGGTGCACGTACACTCAGATAAGGTTTATTACAATTATGAGTGAAGTTTTTTGGTTGGGAGAGAAAATCCTATTGCTACTCATTTATTCCAAGCTAGAAAATCCATGTGCAAACTCTGAACTTTAAAACTTGTGTTTGGGGGAGGGGGGGGGATAATCTTTTGAATGTCGAACTAATGCTTGGTTTCTTGTGGAATGTCAGGCCTTATTCAAATATATTTTCAAATATACTTTCCATGGAACACATAGAAACCAGAACAGCATAAGCAGCATCCATATGCTTAAATATACATAAATCAATTAAGCGATAAATGCATATATTACAGATTTGACTTGAATTACAGTGAAGGGCATGCAGATTACCTGTGTAGCGCTTCCCATCACCCAAATTGTTGTAGTGATAAATGTACTTAGCAGAGTTTGCTTAAATGATTCTTTCTTCAGTCTGCTGCCTTCTGCATTGCTGGAGATTTGAAATCCCACGGATATGGATGATCAGGCTCAGAAAAGCTGTGATATAGTAAGATGGCTCATAAGAAGGCCACAGCTTTTTTGTGTAAAACTACATAATGTTGTGATAGAAGAGGAGATATTTTATCAGTCTTTTAATTCTACTATGATATACTAACTCAGAATTTCAACAACCATAATGGAAAATGTGCAAATGTTTTTAGTTAACTGAATAAACTAATCAGCTGAGCTTGGCTCATTAGTTAAGCAGAATCAGGCCTGATTGCAAGACAGGAAAAGCTGCAGGCCAGACTGGGAAGTCCTAAGCCATCCTGGAGGAAAAGAAATGGCAAACTACTTCTGAATGATTGCCAAGAAAACAACATAGGCATATCTGTGAGATCACTAGAGTTGATATTGACTCAAAGGAGACTTTGTCTGAAGTTGGAAGAGTCCAAAGGCCTTACGCATACGACTATATACATGCATAGTGTGAAAACATACCTCCCTAATTCTAGATCATTGCATAGGGCTTTGAGTATGAAACTCCAATCTCAAACCATTTTAAGAAATAAGCTGCTTTCTATTCTAGGTTGTGGACCTTTGGGCTACCTCTGAAACTTCAATAACTGTCAGTTTTAATAGAGTCTAAATCAACTATCCAGTATTATATCACTTTTTAAAAAATAAAAATAAAAAATAATTGTGTATAATTAACAAGCAATTTAGAATAGATATGCCATATTACTAAATGAATGGCTTCAGATATTGATAAATACCTTTCTTATGATTTAAAAACTAGATTAATTAGCAAAAAGATATTTCAGAGTTTATTGGATTTATCTATTAAAAATAGTTTGAAGTATCCACAGGGACAAATGCCATTTTGGGTATATTTTTAAACCTCTGTAACCACAGACCATATATTGTTATCAGGGATGTCATGATGTACCAGAATTCTGGGCTTCTGTAAAGTTACTCTCTAAAGGCCTCACTCTCTTATTTATTGCCCTTCTGCCATCAAATAAGAAATGAGGAAATGGAAAACTGGATGAAGAGCTTATGTTATTCTAGGTCAGGGGTGTCAAACTGATGGCTCATGGGCTGGATGCATCATGTGCAGGCCATGCCCACTCCAGCTCCATGAATGGGAAAAACATTGTGAAATGTCACATGACAGCAACGTGACGCCTCGAATTTGACAGCCAAGTTCTAGGTGAATTAGGTGTAGAATGCATTGAACAGCTGAAGAAGCACATAGTAAGTATGATGGAGGAAATAATAGTCAGAAATAGGAAATATCCTCAGGGATTGCCAAGGAGAAAAAAATACATGTACCTCCAATCAATTTTATAAAATTTCACCTCCAGTCCTCCAAACTATCAATAATTCACTTTAATTTTCCACCTGAATGAAGTCAGGGCAAAGTATGTGAGAAATTTTTGCTCACTGCTAATCAAAATAAATCAGTAAAAGAGCAAATGATTCAAATAAATTTGTTCTTGAGAAAGAATAGATATTTTTATCCTGCCTAGGAGCATATTTAAGATATTTGGAAAACTTAAGGCCCACCATAGGTGGGCAATGTCAGTATCTCAACTGCCACCTCATCATTTTGTGTGGCTGTGTGTTTTAATGCCTTGGGATTGGGAAGTGAAATGTTTTTCGTGTTTTCACAATACTTAACTATTCTAGACTGAGTTTTCTGTACAGTTTTTGATTTCCCACCATAAGAAGGTAGGAAAGCATGCTGCCGATTTTAAGCAACTATAGTCAGAGCTTTCTAGATAAACAAATAAGTCTTCAAGCTTCCTTCCCTTGAACAAGACATTTTGGCATAGATCTCCTCTAGTGCTTTTTAGGGTTATGGGAGTCATAGTGCAAAGAGTTAAATGGCACCAGGTTGCTCCACTTTTTAAAAAGATTTTACACAGGCCACTTTTAAATCTTTATAAAGTTTGCATGCTCCAAGTTAGAGACAATTCAAGACTGAACTGACATTGCACTGTAAGAAAGAAAAGAAGGCATCTTTGGCTAATGTTTTTGCAATGAAGTTTCTGTAATGTTTCCAACTGCCTAGTTTGCATGTCCAAGCTAAAACCTAGCTTGTAAATTGTAGACAGAATGACGATTTCTTGCTGTTTATTGTATTAGCCTTCCACATAGCTCTACAAGATGCATTTCTTCCTATAGCAGATCAGGAGCTGTGAAAGTAGAAAATCGATTCAATGCCTGATTGTTAGGTTAATGGGGATCATCACAAAAACAGCTGAGCTTCACAGTTCATTTATCTTTTAGTGTGTGCAAGCATGCATGCTGTTCACAGTAATTAGCATTTGAACCCCTTTTTATATTTAGCTTTATTGTTTATAGTTGAGAGGATGCCAAGTAACCAAAAATAGCTTGAGCTTATCATTAGTATTGCATGAGTATAACCATGAAATTGTGAAACCTGGTTCATCATTTGGAATTCTGGGAGCTTTGCATTT